CCCCAAGCCTGTACTGATGCATGGGGTTGTTCCTCCCCAGGTGCAGGACCCTGCATTTGCCTTTGTTGAACCTCATCAGGTTCCTCTCTGCCCAACTTTCCAGCCTGTCCAGGTCACGCTGAATGGCAGCACAGCCTTCTGGTGTGTCTACCACACCTCGCAGTTTGGTGTCATCAGCAAACTTGCTGAGGGTACATTCTAACTCTTCATCCAAGTCGTTGTCCTCTTTTTGCTAGGAATAATAAAGCACCTGGAAGGACTTACAACCTCCCCTGCCTTCTCCCTCTGGCATGAAGAGCTACTTCTCATTCATACAAACAGCACACAATATGTTTTCCATGTTCAGGGTCTTAACTTGTCCCAAATAACCATAGAAATGAATTTACATGAAATACCGATTTCAGACACTTCAGTTTAAATGAATGCTCGGAGTGAACATAAAAAGAAGTAGCCACTTCAGATCACACTAGCAGAAGTTGTTACAATTGCTGTACTAGCTGCTCTTTTGTTATTGCATATCAATGATACCCATCAATGATGTGCTGCACGCTAATACAGACACTTCTACAGGGATCATGAAACTGTCTTCAATATTGTGAGCTTGAAGTTTAAAACAGGAACATTCATTGTATACTTTCATCCCTTCTCCATCTATCAACATGTTTTATTCTTAAGATAGACCAATTTCTTCACTGACTGGAGGAGAGTATTATTACAGTCAAGAAAAAAAGAAGGTAGATTCAGTGAAGAAGATGGGATATGATCAAGTAATAGCTAAGTTTTCTTTCTGACAGAAAAAACCACAATTTTAAAATTATTACTTTATATGATATACAAAAGATCTACAATATTTGCATTTAAACTGTATAAGTCTGTAGGAAGCAAATATGATATTAAACAGCTTTAAAATACAAGATTCAGTAAGTTCAATGGAAGAGAAGGGTGACCTTATAGCAGCCTTCCAGTACCTGAAGGGGGCCTACAGAAAGGATGGAGAGGGACTTTTCACAAGGGTGTGTAGTGATAGGACAAGGGGGAATAGCTGTAAACTAAAAGAGGGCAGATTCAGATTAGATATTACGAAGAAAATCTTCACCATGAGGGTGGTGAAACACTGGAACAGGTTGCCCAGAGAAGCTGTGGCTGCCCTGTCCCTGGAAGTGTTCAAGGCCAGGCTGGATGGAGCTCTGAGCAACCTGGTGTAGTGGAAAGTGTCCCTGCTCATGGCAGGGGGGTTGGAACCAGATTATCTTTAAGGTCCCTTCCAACCCTTATTATTCTATGATTCTATGATTCTAAGTTTCAGATCTTATGGGCTTACTGTTACAAGCTTAAAGCAATGGTTAAAATAGCAGCCAGTCAACACAGGCAATTTTTCTAAAATCTTTATTTCCCTTAAGACTGAAATACAATTTATACAACATTTGCAATGTAAAATACAAATGTCTGACAGTTAGGGAATTTTTCAAATTTTGTAATACTTTTATGCTTGCTTTGTGAATATCAGTACCTTAAGTTCTTTATCCTACAAATTCGTTAAAAAATATAAAAACGTAACCCCACTGTTCTGCTTTTAAAATGGCCTTTGAGTATAAGGCTTCCTCACACCTGTCTAGTGACATATGTGATTCTTCAGAATAGTCCCCACCTGGAGGTGGGGAACAAAGGTTAGGAGGTCTGAAGTGTGACAGACACACTATGGTCATTCTGCTTCCTCAGTCCCCTCAAGGGACTATGGAAGACAGGGTGTAAATTAGAGCACTCTGGCCTCTGCTGGAATTTATATGAAACGCTATCACAGTCCAAGAACAAATGATGAAAACAGTCATTTAGAGGCACTGATACCACGTAAACCTGCAAACTCTTTTCTGGAACACAATAACTGAGATTCAAGCCTGCAGAATTTTCTTTATCTGTTACAAAAAAAACATTGGATTAGATTCTCTAGGTTCAGTAAATAAGTGTTGTTGTCTTCAGTGTCAGTAAAATGGCCCTTCATCTTTAGACACAATTTCCAAAAATTGACCTTGACAGAATTTGGTGAGTTTCCCGAACTTTCACCCTCTTAGATGTGTAAAGCTGAGACTCACTGGTCTAGCAAAATAAAAGCTGAGAACTGTAATTTTTAAGTACTTTAGAGGTGAGAGAAGAAATATCAGTTTGCTGAATGAATGTATCAGCCTATAATCCGGAAGGTTATTTTTCTGATTTCTGTACCCTACTTTTCTAAAGTATGTAGAAAAAGGGAGCAAGCTCTACTGATGGTGCTGAGCAACCTTCACTCCCATTGATGGGACTATCACAGGAGGCATTTAAGCCCTGAAAAGACTCAACCAATAAAACAAATACCATCTCAACACATTTAGACATTTAGCTTTTTTCTATTTTCAAAAATAGGCTTTAAAACAAAATACTAGTTGATGTGCTTCCTTAAACAGTAAACTAATACAGGTATTTTAAATATTAAAAATGCTTACCAGATTTGCAATGATATAATGGTATCCTTTTACATGTTTACCAATTGTGATAACCTGTAAAAAAGAATAAATACCCCCATAATGGAGAACATTCACCTGATATATGGGCTGAGACGTAAAAAGTACAAAATGCAGTATGATGTAAAAGCTAGTTATGAGCTTTACTGTACACAGTACTGAGTTTGTCCAGTGCTTTACTTTTTATTTTACCTAATGCACCACTGAACATACTCTCTGCTGGTGGAAATTAGTGACGTTGAAGTCCATGTCCCAAGATCTGCAAACAGAGGAGCTGAGTGATAATTACTATGCTGTGTATTAAAGGCACAACCTGGACAGGAGGGAGCAGGCATCATGCAGTAGAAGCACTGTGCTTCGGAGATTCCTGCTCAGATTCTGCTCCCTTTGTAGCAGAATTGTAGCACTGCTTGAACTAGAAAAAGTATAAAAGCCCACTGACGTTAATGAAAGCATCGACATTATAAGGAAGTCTATTAAAGTTCAAATTGTTACTTATTGCCCTAAGCCTTCCCCATAATCTCCCTCAAAGCCAGCTGGTGGTTTCTCAACAGTCTCCACTGGCAGGTGTGTAGCACGGATTCTTCTCCCAAATAATCCTAATTAAGACAATGCCTGCAGGGGGAAGTTTGCATTTTGAAGTAAAACACTTCTCCAGAAAAAGCATGTGGGAGATAAGAGGACTCTAGAGGTTTCTTCCATCTTCTGAACAATGAGAACAACTTAAATCAAGAGAGGATGATTCATTTATTTCCTCATTTAACATATAACTGAAATATTCAGAACAAGTATCCTGTAACTTGTATCAGAACAGTAGTGAACAACATTCCACACACCTGCTTTAATGAAGTTACAGATCATAACTGCAGGCAGTGTGTAACACCAAGTTTTCTATTACTAGAGTTTGAGACCGAGAGGGATCACATTACATAGGCCACAGAAGTTATTCATTTATTCCTCTTTTGAGCTCAATATATACATTATACATGAACTTAATTATTCTGAAACAGTTACTTGGTTCAGACTACTTAAAACTCATTACTTATTAAAAGGTTTAAGAACTCTGTTCAGATGTATTTCTTATGCAGCTGCTGCGTCCAAAGAAACTTCAGTTAGACCAAACAGATGAGCTGTTATGCATAAAATGCTTCTTTATCATTGGTATCTGAGAAAGTCATCAGTAGCTGCAAGTCTTTGGATCAATGGTTAGTAACTCTGCTCTAACTGCCACTGGGTACTATTTCATTATCTAACTCTCTAAAACATTGCCGTGTGCCACTTCTCCATATCAACACTAAGGATGCTGCCAGTTAAAACTCCGAGAAGATTCAGTGGTGGCTCCAAAAGCCATGGTGAAGGAGCTGTGGACATTCACCAGTGTCCCTAGTTTCGACCGGCATCTCAAGCAGGGATAGACATGAAGTGGCAGTAATTGCATGGTTGGCCAAAGGGTGTTATCAGGGGGAAATGAGATTCTGCAAAGGAAGCTGGCTGAGAAGAGATAGAGGCTATATAATGAAGTGCTTGGTAACACTGACCTGCCACATCAGAGAAGAGGAATATAAACTAGTCTGAGGAGAGCTGGGGAGCTGCAGTATTTTTCAACTTGAACTTACATAAATCGTTGAAATCTGGAAGAGAAACTATAACACGAGAAAAAAACAAGAATGCTGAAGCAAGTTTGCAAACACATTGTGACTACACAAAGATCCAAGGACTAGAGTGTGACTGGGTGATCCTGAGGTTGCCACCACAGCTTAAAATGTTAGTGGGATAAATCAAAGCACTTCAATAGAAGTTTTTATCAAGAATAGAAAGCAAGGAAGAAAGTAAAGACGTTCCTGCTCTATATATCAAGAATGCAAATAATACTTCAGTATTCAAGAAAAATCTGGTCAACAGAAAGCCTGTTGTATGTGTCTCTAAAAATACACAGAAAAAGAAAAGGGATACTGATACAAAAGGTCTACTTCAGGCACTCTCCCGAAAAGAAGGAAATTGCTAAGGTATTTTTAGGGCAGAAATTTAAAAAAAAATTAAAAGAATAAACCTGGTAGCAAAGCAAGCTCTGAAGTACATACTCTGCTTTTAGAAAAGAGAATCAGAAGAACACACTCAAAGGATACTCACAGGCCAATAAGTCCTTTGTTCAGCACAGACCTTCATTTTAAGAGATGGAGAAAATTAATAGAGAAACAGTTATTTTAGATTTTATTTTAGGCTACTTGAGAAATTGAAAGTGACTATACCTTATTATGTAAGGAAGGGAAGTTACAGAAACAGAGTGTAAGGATAATGGACTTAAACAGACCAAACTCCAGAAACTACTGGGGTATCTTGCAAAGAGAATCTCAAGGCTAAACCCATATGAGACAGCTGACAGCAGTTTAAGAGACCATATTCTAGGACATAGCAGTAAACTACTTTGAGGAGAACAACTAACTGGAATTATATTAACTGACCTGCATGGCTGATTCACAGTTATCTAGAATTCTTCTATGACTTAAAAAAATGAAACAGCAAGAACAGTTTATCCATTCATATGCTTAAAGAGTAGCACAAGTCTGTGGGGATAAGCAAAGAAAATGCAAGACTCCAAACAAGGCAGAATCTATCAAATTACAATTAGGGCAAGAAAAATACCCCAGAGCTGCAATCAAAATAAGCAGCTAAATAAAATAGTAGGTCTATTACTAAACAAAGAGAGTAAAAATGAGTGGTAACTAAAGCATAAAGAGGGTCTTTAAAGAGTGGTAAAAGGAGAAACTGAAGAAACTTACAGTCAACCAAACTTTCATATCAGTGAAGTCATAATAATGAATATTACGTACTTGATTTTGAAAGATTCTATAGGATAATTAGATGACACACAGTAAATATAGCCTAGTCGAGATCAAAATATGTCAAAGCAACTTCTTTCCTTTCTCTCACATGAAAACTAGCCTAATAGATAATGACAAAACAGGAGATGTGACATATCTTGAGTCTAATAAGGCATTTGTCCTGTATGACATAGTTACAAGCTCTTAAGGGAACACGGACAAGACAAAAAGTCACTATAAGGTAAGTGAACAACCATTTGAAATGCCACACAGAACCAGATGCAGAAGACCTATAAGCACTACTTCTCTCAAACACTGCTCTACTCAGTACATTTCTTGACATGGATAACAAGTCAGCAAATATGATTTTAAAAAACTGCAGAAGACAGGGAGATTGCAAATGCTCTGGAGAACAGGATCAAATTCAAATTGATCTTGAAAAATAGAGAAACAGTTTGTGGATATGAATTCCAAATAAAACAAATACAGTGCACTCCATTTAGCACACTGCTCGTTGCTCCAGCCTCTCCAAAATGTAATGACCTTCATAATAAAGGCCAAAATAACAAGCCCTTCAACAAAGCTTCAAACCAATACATCTACATACTGGTGATGTATCTGCACAGATGCTGCACAGTCTCACATGGTCAAGCTCAAGCCAGCAGGCAGCTATCCTTTTAATTTTCCATTGTCCTCTGCATGCATGAAAAGAAGCGGTAAGATACAGAGACAGTAAGACCTTCCTAGACACTAGGACTGAGGAGGTGGATCTGAAGGTAAGGCAGTAATTTCAATCACAGCACTGTGATGCCGTTTTAAAAAAGAAAACTTAAAAAAAAAAAATCATTTTGGCAAATAATATATGTGCTGGTGGAGAGAAGATATAATTTTATGTTCTGTTTAAAGCTCAGGAGGCCTTAGCTATGGAAAACAGCATCCAATTTTGGTCAACACACTTTACGAGGGAAACAAAATGAAGAGAGACCCAAGGACAGTATGAATGATAAAGAGCTTAGAAACACGAACTATGAAGGGAGTTACATGGGAAAGCGAGCTGTTGATACAGCCTTCCCAAGATGTAAAAGGTTCTTGGAAAAAGCTTTCTAGGTGTAAGTAGAACTAATCCCTAGACATAATACAGCTATTTATAATGCACCATATATAACAGCATATCAACTACATATAATATAGTATACTACTTAGGTTGTGAAATAGTCTTAACAAGTTTTTTTTGTTTGTCTGTTTTAAATAACCAGGATGTAAAACTATACGGGATCACCCAGATAGAATTATCTTGCCTTTGAGCAAAAGGAGGGATTATATTGTTTGTATATTCACCATCTGCCTGATATATATGTGGTCCTCAATACAAACCTGTCACTTCTAAACGATGCATAATAATCACAAAAATAGGCTGAACAGAAATGAACTCATTATGTTTACTTATAGAATATAGCTAACTGCTCTCACTGAAAAACAGAGAATAGCAAACCTGATCAACAATGTCGTTGACTTTATCGCGCTCACAGTCCAAAATCACTCGCCTTTCCTTTTTTACCTCTAGATCTTGAAACAGTGAACGGTAAGTTTCATCCTTTCTGTCATTGTTAATATTTCCTACATTGATAGCCGTCACTTGCCATTTCTTTTCAGCAGCAGAATCCAGCACAGCTTGCAATGTTGATAAGCCTAGTGAAGCACAGGAGAAAACAGAAAACATGACTGATAAAGCTTTGGGAATAAGAAGCTTCTAGAACGTGATTTATCAGATTACTTATTTAAGATTTCCCTGTAACTCGTTTGACCTGTCACACATTGTCAGGACTCAGAAATTAAGATATGTGTGGACCCAATCAGCTCTTATTGCATGAAATTTCTATTTACATCGCTGCAAGGAATCAGAGTAGGGCCTTGTAAGGACAACCTTTTGGTTTTGCCTCAATCTTCTCCAGAAGGGGATTTTGCCAGTTTCACTGATCCGCTGCTGGAATTCCACATGCTGGGAAAGAGGTCTTCCAGGAGGAAAGTGATCCAGTTACAACAAGAGGATCAGCTGCTTATTACGAAATGCTATTCCACTTCTTTGGTTCTCAGTGCTTGAGCAGTACTGTATTTAAACCCTGACCTCACTGAGTCGTATTTAACGATATGAAGACTGATATGAAGACTTGTGTGGTGCAATGAATATTTAGTTTACAATAACAGATAACTACAGTCCAAGGGTACATACAAACTATTTATAATACATTAAAGATAAACGTGGAGAACTCGCACTAGCATTAAAAGGTTATTAATGTCAGCAAATTAAAAGATGTAGGGAATATTTTAAAACATTAGAAAGCACTAAAGCAAGTGTGTACCTCAAAATAATGTTTTAAACGGTAATTTAAAATAATTTAAAATATCAAACCACAAAAAATATCCAAACCAAACTGAAATGACTATAAACTGGATCATCGTTTCAGATCTCATTTAGTAGATTTCAGGTCCTCCAATCTGTCTATATGTTTCCTCTGAGTTAAACAGAATCTCAGTTTGGCATAAATTAATACAGGCTATTAATGTTAATAATATCCACCACAAAGGGTTTCTGTATTTTACTCCTCTGATCTTCCATTTTTCCTAAGGACTCCCTTTTCTTGGGGTGCTCTCTGAAGAGATGTCAAATGGCTGCCTGAATTTCTTGGTTTTTATAGGCGGCAGATTGATCATCTCCATACAGTTTAGTTTATTCTGTTAGGAATAATACATTGCAAAAGAACAAAAAGTAAACAAAGAAAAATAAAGCATTCACAGCAACACTTCTGTGGACTTGGAAGTATCTGGAGAGTGGTAATGTAACATAAGTTGGACTCTGCAGAGGAGAAAACTGCAACAGCTTCAGTTCCTTTTTTTAAACTGCAGGAATACCTCTGTTTGGAAACCTCATGCGCCTGAAGCTGTTTTGGTTATCATGAGACAAACTCTTAATTGGTGGAGGTCTGAAACGGAGGCCTGAACAGAGGCTGAGTAAACTAGCAATTATGTTACAGACAGAATCCTCCATTAACGTCACTACTTTTTCCAAAACCCACTGTTTAGTACTGTCAACACAGAGGAGGCAAGGAGGGCTGAAGGACACTAATCCACATTACAGGAGAGCAACTTTTGTATTAAGCCAGTAATAGCTTGGACATGCATCTACTGAGTGGCCTCACTTCTTACAGACAGAAAGGAGATATGAAATTGCCCTGCACTTCAACCAGTCAGCCCCTAACCACAGAGGAGCTGTAAAAGTAGCAAGAAAATGACTCTTTTGGAATAAGTCATCAAACTAATTCCTATTAGCTTTCATAGCTTCCATGAAGAGTTAAGTCTCTTTGCCTTTTTTATCTCACTCCTGAAGGCGTAAAATTTTATTTTATGTATCATTCCTTAAACATACTTCACTGTCACTACATTAACAGGCAAAAGTATTGAGAGGAATTGTGGACCCTGTGTATTCAGGATTTGATGTCAGTGTTGCTGGCTACCTACTGCTTGACTGTGCAGGTTAACCTTGTGCAATCAGTGGGAGCACTGAGGAGCAATGATTTACTCAACATAAAGGTAGGAGTTTCATGCCCTGGGGCTTGTTATCACTGGGGTGCCTTGCCACAATTAAAATAAACAAATAGGAAAAAAAAAGGCATAACGAAAGAGTGACTCCAAATAACAATTTTATGCTGTTCTTCCTGGCCAGACTCGGCCAGTGAAGCTCACAAGAACTAGGTGTTTTTCAGTATTTCCTAAACATAAATCACACACAGGTCACATACTGCACACTGCTAGCAGGCTGACAGAGTACTGGCTAAGCAAGTAGTTTTATATCTGTCCTTTTAGAAAAGGCAGTGAATGTTTCTGATTCTGATGTGAATTTGAAAAGGATCCGCCAGAGAATCGGGCGTAGGGTTCACCGTCCCACATGACATTACTGTTGGAAGCTACATATTGCTATTAGTTTTTCTAACTTTAGTGCTTACAACAGTGATAACTGTCTTGAGGAAGTCCTTTCAGCTGAACAACATGATGTATGAAATGGCATCAGAACGCAGAGAATCTAGTGTCACCTGATTACTGTGGTATAGCCATCCTTTAGATCTAGTGGCATCTTACCATTTAACATGCATTTAACACTCAACTCTGACTAATGAACATGCAGATGAGCCACAAAATAGCCTTTTTCAAGGGAACAGCAGAAGGTAAGAAGAGAAAAAAGTTTGGCAGTCAAAAAAACCCAACTTCTGTATAACGCTGCTTCCTCTCAGAAAACTAATTAATATACAACGATTTGCAAGTACTTTTTCCCAGTTCATAAACTGTAATATAGTTATTACTACAGCCATAAAAGGGCATAGGACTTGAGAAGGCTGTACCACGGAGTAAACTGCTCACAAGCAGTGGATTTGGGTTTATCAATAAAAACAACAACAGAAAAATCTAAGCTTAACAGAGGAGAGGAACTCGAGTATTTATCAAAAGCAGTCCCCAAACAAGTAGGACTGCGTCCAAGATTCTTGCTTCCTTGGTGCCCAACTGTCGATTTTGTGTGTGTGGAGTGAATCTCTGGCAGTACATTATCCTTCATGCTCAGATGGCTTTTTTTCTCCTTAGATGATTCTTTAAAAAGAAGAAAAAACTTTTCACAGGAATTGTTTTACATGTGATTAATCAAACATTGCTTACCAGCACATGCTTGTAATTCTATTAATACACACTGTAATAATTTCATTCACATTTAAACAATTTTGTTTCTGTCCCAAAAACTCATTCCCAAATTTTAGCTTACATTTACTGCAGGTAAATATTTCTTTCACAGAATCACAGAATAGTAGGGGTTGGAAGGGACCTCTGTGGGTCATCTAGTCCAACCCTCCTTGTTTACTTTTCTACTGCTAATTCAGCATTTCAGTGAGCTGCATCTAGCAAACACCATACAGATAAGAAGTCCCACACCTTACCTCTGTCACTGTCATACAAATATGCAAACTTGGTCCACTGATAGTATTCGATCAAGCTAAGAAGAGCTCCTTTGAGGTCAGGCCTCATCTGAATGACAAAGGGATGTGTTCCATCTGTTGGGAAGCTGGGAGTTATGAAGGAGACATGGAGAGTCCCACAGAACGATGTTATGGTATTTACAGACTTCTTGTCATAGAATCCAAAAATAGCAAAGACTCCTCTTGAAAACTGGGAGCAGACTAGAAAGGAGAAAGAAAAACAATTAGGTGGGAGAGTTTTTTTCAAAAAATTAATTGAAAACTCTATCATGTATATATTTATGAGAAATAACGAAATTGTCTGATCACATAAGTAACAGGAGAAAACAGTAATACTCTGCTTATTATTTGTTATTATAATCAGTAATATACAGCTTCTGCTGGAAATAACAACCAAAAAAAAAAAATCAGGTGTAGTTCACATTCCTAGACAATTAATTTACAAATTAAACTCACTTAGTTATTCTTAAATTCAATTTATACTGTAAAGAACAGTGATATAAACATCACTGTCAGCTGTAATAAATAAAATGAGTCATTCTGACCACACACAGTACTATGGAAATAGGTAACTTTTTGTCATGTCAAAAATAAATTGGCTTTGAGGTCAAGACTCGCTGAGTTTTTTGCCAAACACCTTAAATAAATTTCCGTTTGGTGAAATATAAAGCCAAAACTAGAAGCAAATCTATTGACAGCAAAAAAAGTAAGAAGGTGACTTGCTTTAAACCCCCCCTTGTTTCAAGGCGTTATTTTAATTCCTGCTCTGCAGGACTCAGCAAAAGCTGGTCCTTCTGAATGACACTTGCGGTCATGCTGCAGAAAGAATAACCTCATAGGTGTAAGTAACATGCTGATTATTCAGTTTTTATCACTGGAGACAACTCAAGCCAACTGATGAAAACCACCTCTGCAAGAGATGTCCCTGCTCACTGCAGGAGGGCTGGACTAGATGACCTTTAAAGGTCCCTTCCAACTCAAACTATTCTACAATTCTACGAACGCTACCGACCACCACAGCCTGTGTAAAAGAGCTAGTTCTTCTGGGTTATTCTCCTCTTTGACACTGCGGGCTATACTAGTGCCCAAGTTCTAAAACCAGGGTACAGAAAGCAAACGTTGATGTCCAATTAATTCTCATTTATCACCTATGCATTCTTTGGTTTGCACATAGTGACCATGAACAAGAGGCATCCTTCTAGAGAAAACATCCCGTCAGCCTCTTCGCAACCCCTGCTTCACCTGATCTGCCTGTAGATAAAAATCACAGTGTAATCGAAGCTAATTTTGCCCAGCTATTTAGTGCACTAATCCTTGAATATAATTCACATAACGGCAAAAATAATTTGAATTATTTTTTAAATTTCTCAGATTTGAACTGACATTAATACAATATTTTTTCTTCTAAAGTTATCGCATCTTTAATTTTTTTTTTTAAAATCACCCCTTTATGCCTGTTATTACTCATTGCTATTCTTTTTTCATGGCTTTGCCTATCTATCTTTGCTACCACAGTTCTCTCTCATACCCTAATTATTTCTATATTCCAGTTAAAAGCATCTAAACAGTACGGATGACATTCTGAGGCTGCCAGTTTCAACAGTTATCACCTATTAACTTTAATTAGGTCAGAATTTCATCTCAGGTGAGAGAATACAAGTGATTAAAAAACTTGATGAGTAATATCTTTACTAAAGGATGCTGCAGGTTTTCCAGGGCTAGAGTACAAGATCATCAGACCTCTTCCGTTCCAACTGCAAATTGTTATGTATAGCTCCAATATTTATCTCAAGCATATCAAGGGTATAACACCGCTCATGTTGAACAAAGGCTTCTGAAAAAGGCTGTGAATTTTCTGAATAGCTTTGCTGTTTAAGTTACTGGAACTCCTTGTTTTATTCCAAATCACTGTGCTCTCACTAAGACAAAAGCAACTCGCTACCTCCCCACACATTCATGAACATTTCCCATTTGCAGCAAACGCTAAGTACTTTCTGAACTTGCTACAATGAAGGTGTTAATGTCTCATAATCCACCTTCAAAAATGCACATTAAAATAAAGCACCAATTTACATGTGGATCCCTGGTCGAGAATTCAGCAGAAGACTGTTTCTGGCACACTACTGTGATCTTCTCTATTAAACCATTTTAATATTGCATGTAAGGTGACAGAGACAACAACAGTGCCATCCCAGGATCACTGAGAAATAAAAAAAATTTTATGCCAGTATTGCTGACTCCCAGGATGCTATATCACAACTCCTGTCACACTTACTGCTTTTCTTCAATCACCAGCCAACGCCTTTGGGCGTAGATGAAATAACGCTGCCTACAACAGCCAACAACTGGCCAGCTGCCTGCACCAAAAAATTTGAAAACCACAGGTGGTGCCTTCTCAGAAGCACCACTGCCACCACTAATAAAGAAAAGCCTGGCTCTCTGGAGCACTGTACTCCAGTCTCTGTCTCCGTTCCTCCCTTATCCTTCCCTCCCCTTCCTGACACTGGAGAGACCCGGACCTATCAGGCCACTACACATCTTTGGGGTAAGGAAGTTCAATCTGCCCATGCTCTTGGGAAGTCTTAGTTAAGGCTCTGTCCTGGCTCCTGAACTCACGTACCTAAATAGATCTCAACTTCCATTTAAAAAAAACCCACTACACTTGCAAAAACAGCAACAACAAAAAGGGACAGAGGCAGACCAGTTGACCCAAACTGGTCTAAGGGATATTCCATGCCATACAACATCACGATCAGCCATAAAACTCTGGCAGAAGGTGAAGAGGGTGGGGGGCTCTGACTTACAAGGTGGTTGTTGCTTGGAGACTGGCTGGGCATTGGTCTGCTTGGGGGAAGGGGTGAGTGATTCCCTTTGCATCACTTGTTTCTTCTCTTTCCTTGACTTATTAAACTGTCTTTATCCTGACCCACAAGTTCTCTCACTTTTTCTGTTCCTGTTCTCTCCTCTGTCCACCAGGAGCAGGGGGGAGCGACTGAGTGGCTGCGTGGGCGTCTGGCTGGGGCCAACCCATGACAGGGTGAAAGGTGTTACTCCACCTTCCACCCATGGGACAGACCTGTTCATACACCGGGCCTGCGCTTGAACGGGTGAAGGAGTTCTGTACCCCTTCAGCAATACAAACATGCATCCAGTCCACTCTCATCAGCAGGCAACTGCTGTTCTTTCAAACTGAACATCCTCCCCAACATGGCACAAACTCTTACCACCTCTCTTCACCAGTTATTTACTGCCTATTGATCAAACACAGCTCTCCATTTAATAATCTTTACAGCTCGTAAATCATCAGTCCTTACATGTGTGTGTCTTCTTCTGGGGAAGGTGGGTACAACTGGAATTTTGATCTCCTCTCCTGCACAAAGTGAGAGACAAGTAAAAAGCACCACCTCTAGCCAGGTAGGTCAACTCACTGCAGTTTTAGCTACTTGCAGGAGCTGCAGCTTAAAAGCTGAATTACACACACCTGTGCATACAGTCCCAACAAATAATACGAGAAAAGCAAAAACATTTCATATTTTTAACATTATTATGAAATCTGTCACACAGATATAAACTCTCACTTAATTCAACCAGGGCCCCCTGGATGTGATATAAAAACTCTTTCTAACACTAATCTTGAAAGTAAGGACATAATACACATTAGCAAATATTAAGCTATGGAGGTCAGTAAGAAAATCAGGATCAACTTTGATCCAGGTAAAAATAAATTTTCATCAGCAGTTATCAGTGTCACAGTTGAACAGTAAAGAACCTCAGTGCTGTGCTTTTGTGTGTGACATTCCTCCAAAAGTAAGCAGGAGGGCACCTATGCCATGTTAATAAAAACTTGTTAAAGTAAGCATTTAGACTTTGTCTTGAGACAAATGCCTGCAATTGTTCTGGGGCATTTGGTCTTTCAGGAGCAGGAGGGAAAAAAAAGGATGGTATTTCCAAATACATAATGGTGATCCAGCGGATAATGCAGAAAGTGTATTGCTTTTGGCAGGATTCCCACCTTAGACTAAGTCTACAGACATGCTGTTATTGCTGGGAGACATTAGTTTCATAATGGTGAATCACAAGCTGTTCACAGGTATTAGATTAAAAAAAAATCATGATGATTAGGACTCGTAAGCCATTGAAACATGAAAGATGTATTTTATTAAAGACATTAGAAGCAACTGCTAGGATTCATGTCTTTCAAGCTCTTCTATATGAATTGTTTTTATTTGGGTTTATGCTGTCCTTTCCAGAAACATTCAACGGCCTACTTAGCAACCAGAAGACAAGAAGATAGTAAGCCCCTTTTGTGATCACTTTTCTAGAGAGACCCACCTAGACTTGCAAATAACTGGGAATTCCAATAAACAGGGTAAATAAAGGTACCTGAAAAAACAACAATTCCCAGAAGGTTTTATTACAGTTAACAATTACATATTTTATATTTGACTTCTTGTTGTTCTACTAACATAGCCAGGCAAAAACCTAGTTTGCCCTTGTTTTCCACAACACCAAAAATGTGTCCTAGTCTTTTCTTGCAAAAGCTAGGGCCCGGATTTGTTCAACAACAAAATGAAGCTTAAGCCTGCAATGAAAAACAGACGCCTTGTCAAGGAAGGCCAAAACTACTTGCTCAGTCATTAACTCTCCCATTGTTAATGACATCTGTTTCTTCTTGGACTTCCTTTTTATCATGATGCTCTGATACCTTTCTCTCTTCCACACTTTCTTCATTTCACTATCCTGTTCTGTCAATGAACTCTATAGGCAGGATAACCTGATACATAGCCCTGCGGCCTTAGCTGGTTCTACAGAAAAAGAAATACAGCAACATACATTCTTTGCCTGTCATCATATAGAACATGTTTCTGTGACGGATTATCATCATCTACCCAAGACTCAAAAAGTGCCAGCTGAAGAATACATTTGAAACTTCAAAATATAACGATATTACAAGCACATATAGCTTTACACAATGAAGTGATGCCAGTTTAAGAATGATAGTTCATTTTCATGACTGAAGAACTGAATCTTTAGAGGCATACAATCACTTCGAAATAGTTGCATTTGAATACGTAGCCTTAGAAACTACTCTTGATCAAGTATTCCTAAGCCAAGATTTCCTTTCCAAAGGGAGAGTAATGAACCTAAGCATTGTTTACATTCAGAGATAATTAAATGGGAAAAAGAAAATTAGCAAAATG